ACCTGTTGACCCTTTAAAAAAATAAGTAATACATGCTCTGGTTAGAAAATTCAAACAAGTACAGAAAGGTTATTTGCTAAAATTATAATAGCAACTTCAACTAGGTACAGGTAAAGAGACTCAAACCAGAGGAGTATAAAGAGGGTATGAAGAATTGCGGGAACAGCATAGGTTCACACAATTATAAACATTCATTGAAATTTACTGTTTTTCCCAAAAACAAACTGGGCCATTTTTAAAGACCCATTCTTAAAAACAACTGTATATTACAAAAATATTCTTGCACTGGCCGGGTGGCTCAATTGGTTGGAGCGCTATCCCATACATAAATAATTGTGGGTTGTTTCCTGGTCAGGCACATATCTTGGTTATAGGTTTGATCCCCAGTCAGGGCTTGTATATGAGGCAACCAATAGATGCTTCTCTGCCATATTGATGTCTCTCTCTGTCTCTCTCTGTCTCTCTCTCTCTGTCTCTCTCTCCACACACACACACTATCTTACATCAATAATAAAGCATATCCTCGGGTGAGGATTAAATATATATATACATAAATACACACACACACACACACACACACACACACACACACACACACACTAGAGGCCCGGTGCACGAATTCATATATGGGCGGGGTCCTTCGGGGTGACCTGCGGGGATCAGGCACCAGCTTGCATGCCCAGGCTTGCAGCCCCACAACCCTGACTGGCACCCCACTGTGGCCCAGCACTGCCCACTCACCTGCTCCATCATCCCGCCTGTGGGGCAACCCATGGGGCCCGGCTCCATCAGCGCCTGGTAGGCGGGTGGCATCCCTACCCCCCCACCTCTGCTGCTGCCAGTGGGGCGATTGGTGGGGCGATCAGGTCCTGCTCGCACCTGCCTTGGTCTGGCGCCACCCGCTCACCCGCTCCACCATCCCACCACGTTCCTGCTCTCGACGGAGCCCACTGGGGCCGGCAGCACCTCCACTGCCGCCCACTGCCAGCTCTGCATTGCTGACGCCCGCCATGTTCCACACCACCCCCTGGTGGTCAGCGCACATCATAGCGAGCGGTCAAACTCACGGTCGAATAATTTGCACATTAGGCTTTTATTATATACTAGTAGGAAGGATATATATCTATATTCTTGCTGTGTTTCTGTAAGGCAAAATGAGCATTCTTTTATCTTTTTATTTTGGCAGTCTCTCCACAGAGGGAAGGGAAAATGGATTATCCAGAAGCAATCAGTCATTAGCAAAATCAAAGGACATTCCCATGAAGATGTCTAAAAACTATTCTAATGTTCTCTAACTTCCTCTGTATAGTATCCCTCGTTGAGAAGATTTTCGTCATATAGTGTGGTTCTATCTGCCAAAACCAAATCTGACAGATGTAAGCCACACAGATAGGATACACTGTCTACCCACCTTTAATGCAAAAGCTTCCTATTTAAAGGTTGACTTACTCCAGATCCAACCACACTCCTACCCATTCTTAGTCTTTCTTAAGCAATGCTTTCTTCATGTCTTGCCTATAGAATTGTTACACTATTTCAAGGTCAAGCTCAAGTTGCAGCTCTTCCAGGAAACCTTTCCTTGACTCTAGCTCTCCATCATCTCTCTTTCTCTCCTTGAAATTCAGAGAGCTTGTTCATACCACATTACCCAACATTTCATTAAATACATTCCCCAATATTTTACGTGTATTACTAAACTGCAAGCTCCTCGAAAGCAGAGTTTATATCCTAAATGTCTGTATTTCCCACAGTTCCTAGTCAGAGGTGTTGCATACTAGGTTCTCAATAAAGAATATTTTAGATGATTCCTATTGTGAGTTATTTTTATAGTAATGTAAATATTAAACCTTTACATATAATTCTTTAATCATGGAATTCCTCAAGTTTATTTGTGGTTATATGTTGCATAAAGGCAGTATCAGTAATACTGATTGCAACCCAACACAAAGATTCATCTGTCAAGCAACTTTCCAAGAAATAAATAGCTCAATCCATGATAGCTCTCTAAATTTCAAGAAAAAGTTCTTGTTCTTAGAGACCTGTAGTATAGATCTGCTGAATAAGTGGCAGTTACTTACTTTCAATTCTTAAAAACCAATTTTCCATACAGCTGTGTTTACTCACACCATGTCTCATTTATCCTAGAGGTGTAAAACCGCAAAGCCCGATTCTCTCTCCCCTCTATATTTTCCCTTGCCTTTGTTATTTGCCTTTCTGCGGCTTGCTAGCCAAAGCCATAATTAGCACCCCATGGCGACCTGTATTTTTCTAATAAAGAACAGCTTACAGCACAATGACATGTATACACACACAGCCATGTGTGTTCCTAACGAATTAGGAATATTTTACACATGCAAGCTTCAATAGCTAAATGGGAGCACTTTACTTGGCAGCTGCAACTGACTCAACACTGACTGCAGATTGATTCATCCTTTCTCTTAAGGCACACACAGTCCAATTGCAAGAAGGGAAACTACCTAGTTGAGACTGAGTAAAATTATGAATACAGGTTCTAAAGCAGACCTTAGTACGTAAACCACATTTGTCAAGGAAATATTTTTTTCACAAATTACTACAAAAGTTGTGGTGTTTATTACATGACAGTTCACTGTGATTGTGCTGTAAAGTCATCGTTTTCAGCCAGACAAATTAGTGCTTAAGATAGACTGCCTATATATGAAGGCTCTGGATCCTGTTCTACATTCCCTTCACCATCCAGTCTCCTCAGACTCCCACCCAGCATCACCTTTCACTCAATCTTCTCCACAGCTTATCATTAACCTTGTCAAGCTCCAACCCACACCCACCCTTTCAGTAAATGGAGGAGAGTCAAGTAAAATACATTATCAAATTGAAGAAAAAAAACCTCATTTATTAAACATTTAATTTACAAGCAAAATTCAAGTAGGAATAAAAGACTTGTCCCTTCCCCACTACGGCAATATGAATGAAAATTCCTCCACTAGTGTATAAATATCATCGTAATTGACCTACGTGCTTGCATTAGTAAGTATTACTAGTAACTATAATGACGAACTTACTTCATTGAAAGTAAGGGCTACGGAGGTTTGGAGCTATAACAAAGGGTCCAAAAAGCCATATACACCAATATTGCGCACAGACTAAATAATGGTCCCCAAATATACTACTATTCTTCAAACCTACATAGATGCTGTTATGATTAATAAAATCAAACTACATTTAAAACATTTAATGACTTATAATAGTTTTGTCATGTATTTTGTTAGTTAACAGTTACCAAAATTATAGCTATCACATGTAGATCCACTAAAATATTTTACCTGAAAAGGAGTCTATACAACTGATGGTTACTCACTGAGACTGAATATTAAAGATGAATTAAGGTTGAAAATCTCTCTGTGCTCCTTGAATTGGAACTGTACATAACTCATGTTTTTGTTGCCAGTAACACATAGGAATTACTGAATAAATATGCTTTCACACTAAACTGAACATGGCTTAAACATGGGGAGTCTTAATCTCCCTTCTGCATGTTTTTCAAGTTGGTAAAAGATTTTAAAACCCTAAAATTTTTAAGCCTGTGAAGGGTAAAGTAGAAATATGTTGTATGAAGTTGGAGCCTCTCCTTAGAAATTGTTATTAAAAAACAAAAATTTTTATCACGTTAACTGGCATGTCTAATCTGTAAGATTCTACTCTAAATGTGATTGAGATGTCATCACTCATCATTGGCTCACACACATTAATGGTTAATGAAAAGTTCAGGATCTAACATTACACAGAGGAGTTCTCTGCATTGAGGTATCCTCAGATCAAATTATTGTCAATCACCCTTTGGGAAACATTAATCATCTTGAAATAACAGTTATGCTTTGCAGCAAGCAAAAGCATCAATGCTGATTTGTCAAGGATAGGTGCCAACAGCTTTGTTTTTTACTCTTGCCTTTTTTTAACTATGGCATCTACTGTGACAATAAAAGCACAATGTAAAACTATGAATCTTCCCTAACGTGTGCCTCATTTATAACAATATCAAAAGCCTATGATATTTTTAAATGAAAAAGGAATGAGCATATCTTGGTAAAAAGAAAATATAGAGGGATAAATTAAACAATTACAATAGCAGTTCTCAATCTGGGAGGTACATCAAAATCATTGCGAAATATATTAAAAATATAGATGCCCAGTCCTAGCCGGTGCTCAGTTGGTTGGAGCGTCATCCCATACACCAAAAGGTTGTGGGTTGGATCCCTGGTCAGGGCACATACCAAGGTTGCAGGATCCATCCCAGGTCGGGATGCATACTGGAGGCATCCGATCAACGTCTGTCTTCCTTCCTTCCTTCCTTCCTTCCTTCCTTCCTTCCTTCCTATAAAAAGAGATGCCCAGACCCCAGCAGAGCATCTTCAAGACTGGTGGTTTTTGGTTTTTTAAAAGCTCCAAAGAATTCTAATTCAGACCCTTAAACTTGAACCTAAACGTTCTCAAAGTGTAGTCTCTTTATCAGTAGCATCAACATCACCTGGAAACTTGTTAAAAATGTAAATTCCCAGACTCCTCCCTGAATGAATCAGAAACTCTGGGATAATGCCCAGCAGCCTGTTTTCACAAGACCTCCAAGTTATTTTGATGCTAAAGTTTAAGGTCCTCTGCTTTACACCCTGGTGTCCACCTCCTCTTCATTAACTCTACAAGATGAAAATGAGATTTAACTAATATAAAGAATTTTTTTATTAAAAATTTGTTTTGTCTTACAATCATTAAATTAACACTAATGTGACTTTCATTGGAAAATGGTTCAATTTGTCAGTTCTTGGATCAGTTTCTTTTTTAAACATAAATGTGCCTGGCATTAGACAAGAGATCCAACGATCTTTTGCCATTTTGTCTATTCTTCCTCTGGTCCTGGGTAGCAGGAGTTCAAGTCAGCTGATTAACTGCAAACCTTGAGATGGAAAAAAACACACACAGTTTTTCTTTCCTCATTTTAAGACTAAACGGTGTCTAGAATCAACTACCAATTTACAGAAAATACAAAGAACAAAGACGCCTGTAAAGCTCTATCACGGGACTGACATAAGCAAAAATCCAGACAAGGTAGAAATTCTACAGAATAAATGACCCAGTTTCTTCAAAAATCAAAGAATAAGAAAAAGAGGATATAAAAAGCATCCTATGGGTTAAAAGAAACTGAAGAGATATATCAATCAACTGCAATGGATTCTAACTCAAATAAATTACCAACAAAGAAAAAATGTAGTTCAGACTATTGGAAATTTGAACACTAAGTGGATAACTGGTATTAAATAATTGCTAATTTTAGGTACAATAATGGCATTATAATTATGTTTAAAGCATACTTATCTTTAAAGAAATACCAAATTATCACCAGATAAAATGATATGTCCTGGACCCACTTCAAAATAACAAAAGAGGAAGAAAAGTCGGTAGATGATAAAAATGAAATTTGATTGGCCATGACTTGATAATTGTTAAGGCTGGTGATGATTACTTGGGATGCATTATAGTATACTGTCAATTATCCTATTACATATGTTTAAAGTTATCCAAAACTTTAAAGTTTTCAACTAAATGAAGTTAAAAGAGATTGCTAAAACTATGAAAGGAACATTTGTTCCATGTATTGCCTGAAATAGTGAAGTCAGGAAAATATTAAAAATAAGACTACTTAGGACTTTTAGAACTTAAAACACAAATCTAAGTACTGTACTTTGCAATTTAAGGAAAGAGATGGCTATAAAGTACATTCTTGTGAGCTGCTCAGCTTTCTTAAGTATTTTTAATTCTCTAAGGAAAGAACTATATGACCTGTATTATACCATCCCAGTATTCGGTCCGTACTCAGCTGCCCAAGCATTATTAAATGGTTATAGTGTGTATACATATGCTTTCTTCCCTAGGGCCACTCTATCAACTTCTTTCTAAATGGGGTGATGGAGAAACCACAGCTGAGGTCCTGCATAAAATCTGTCACAATGTTTCCATGAAAAGGCAAGTTAAAATCTTTATCTTCATCCTGATTTACATAACAAATTTATTTTAAAAATACAAAATTGGCAAAAAAAAGAGAAAAACTTCAAGATAGCAGCCCTTGTCTGAAAATACTTATCCTCCAAAATGTACATAATATACATAATTGATGATCTAACACCATCATATAGATATAGTATATTTTAAAGTATACTATTTAAAAAATATACTAAAGGTAACAGTAGTTATCTTCCTATGGAGGGATGTCTTTCCTTCTCTTTTTCAGTATTTTCCAGATTTACTACAATGAGCATCTATCACTTTGATAGCTAGGAAGAAAAAGTGCCCCTCTACTCCAGGGACAGAAGAAAATTTATTTTACCACATCACATAGTAAATTATAAGTCCCGTTAAACAATTCAGTTCAGGCCTATATTATCTTTAATATAGACTATAATTTTATTTTTCTTCTACCCTTATCCTTGCTTTTATCCCCAATATGAACTAGACATCTTTTTCTCAGCAGTCCTCAGCAGTGAGGAGACAAGGTCACCTCTGTTTATTTATCCATAGGTTTACTTCAAAGGGTAGATAACACTAATCTGTAAATAACTTCCTAGTTTGAAATCTCCTGGTTTCAAGAAATACCCATAAACTAGTATCTTTTTTCTAGATAATTTCTGTCTGCCTAGGCCAAATTCCCTTAGAAGTTATCCTCGCACTCAAATTCTTTTCTGATTTGTTTCCACTCAATTATTGTACTCCTTTCAGTCTCCTGCTTCAATTCCTCCAACATGCATCAAATCACTTCATTTTTTAGGTGTTTTTTGTTTTTGTTTTTTTCTCAGTCCCTACCCTATTTCTAAGCACCAATACACTGGGGTAATGTAAAAATAAAATTTAATGTGATGCAACCTAATGTTTAACCTCGTATCAGGTTCAAACATGATTAGTAATTACAGGCAGAAGTAGAGATAGGTTTTTATAAACACGTTTTCTCAATAATTAAAAACCAACAACTATAATACCATCCTTTGTAAATGGAAGAGGTACAATTTTCTTCACTTGGGCTTGACATAAATGTGCAGAAACTTTTTGGTGCCTATCCAAGATGTCTCTCTCTTTTTCTTATTAACAAAATCCCCATATAATTAAGGGCAGAATGTGCCCAACTAAAAGGCTACGTTTCCCAGCTATCCTTACAGATAAAGAGTCTGCCAGTGGGATATGAATGAAAGTCATTGCCCTTTGGCCTTTTACCCTCCCCCCTACTGTCTTCTTGCCTAGAATGCAGATGCTCACTGGGATATAAGCTGCCATCTTATGACCTTCAGAAGGGAAGCCATATGTTAAAGGTTGGCAGAACAGAATTTAAAATGAAACTAGTTTCCTAATTTCATGAAACTACGAAAGTTTTTTGTTTAACATACAATAGATTTTATCCTCTAAAATAGATCTATGACAAACATTCACATTAAAAAGCATCGCAGTTATATCTAAAACCTGATTATGAGTACTTACCATAATATACTGACTATGGGTCTGGTTCTAAAGTTAAACATGAATCTGACCCTGTTGAGACAACTTGCTGCCTATGTGGCTTCTTGGACACTTAACATCTCCACGCCACAATTCCTTTATTAAAATGTTGATAGTTAGGGTTGTTCTGATTATTAAATTCTAATGCTTAGTACCATACCTGGTTTTATCTTTAAGGTTGATCATGTATATTCTATGACCCAGCAATTCTACTCATAAAAATCTACTCTAGAGTAACTATGATGTGCTAATGCATGCTTACACACACACCCCCCCACACACATACACAAGGAGATATCTCACACATACAAGTAGATATGTGCAAGAATTCAATGTTCATTGCAGCATTGCAATGGCTATCATCAGGAAAATGAACAAATTAATTGTGGAATAGTTACACAATGAAATATTATACCATAGTAAAAGTGAATCAACTATAATTACATGCAATAACATAAGCAAAAGTAAATGATATCTTTCTAAGGACATATATATAGTAAAATTATTTTTATATATAAAACACTAATATGCAAATAGACCGAACAGAGGAACAATGGAACAACCAGTCGCTATGTCATGCACTGATCACCAGGGGGTGTGCATGGAAAATGGCGGGCGCCAGCAGCAGGTGGCAGAGCGCAGAATATGGTGGACATCGGCGGCGGGATGGTGGAGGTGAGTGGGGGCGCCAGACCAAGGCAGGGTGCCGGTTGCAGTCATCGGGGTGAGCCTCTGGTGGTTACTGAAAATTCTTTGCTCCCATGCACCACAGCCCCGCCCAGCGCTCACACCTGCTGCCCATGCTGGCCCCACTCGCACCCGCTGCCGGTGACAGCCCCTATCACTCAGTGCTGTCAGTGGGTGCGAGCGGTGGTTGCCAGCCCGGATCACCCCTCAGGGCTTCTCCACCTCCCCCTGCTCCTGAAGGGTGATCAGGGCCGGCAGCTGCCTCTCGCACCCGCTGCCAGCGACGGCACCAATTACTCCATGCTGAAAGCAGGTGCAAGCGGGGCCAGCACCATCAGTGTGTGGGAGCAGCTGTGGCGGGAGCGGGGCTGCTGGCAGACAGGGGAGCCACAGCTGCAGCAGGAGGGGCCGGGCGGGGGCACAGAGGATAAACTGAGACCTGCCCCTGTGCCCACCGCAGCCTTGTGGCACCTAGTTCCTTTCAAGATGCACGAATTCATCCACTGGGCCCCTAGTTTTTAATGTAAAATACAACATGCATTGCAGCAATTATCCCTGAGGGGAAGGCAGAGAAATGATGGGGCTGGGAAACATTGGTAGATTTAATAGTACTGGTAATGTCCTAGTTCTTAAATTGGATTGTAGGTCTATAGGTATTCCTTTTATTATAATTTCTAAATTATATTTCATGTTTTATATATTCCTTTAATGGACCAAATGTCACATAATAAACATATAAAATAGTGTATAAGGATACTATGCTGATTTAAATAATAAAGAAATTCCATTCTTGCTACTCGCAAATGGTTGCTGCTTCGTTATCAATAACCAATTCTCACCACATAACACAAGTAAATATAGTACTGTTCTTAGCAGCTTTCCAAGAACTGTTGATTTGTCTTCTCTCAGAGTACATGTAAAATTACTCTTAAAGAAATAAAATGTCCAGATGATTTGAAACATAAAAAATATAATTTCTACAGTATGAATAATATAAAAGCTAAGATGTGACAATTTCCACAAGTATGTCTTAATAAGGAATCAGGGGAATGTTTAAAGAGAACATGAAAAAAATTATAATTATTAAATAACTTCAATCTATAGCAAGCCAAAATGCATTGTCATCATTATACTAAAATAATTAAAATAATTTTGCTGATTAAGAAGAATATGAAATATCCTAAAATTAAACATTAAGATGTCCAGCCTATTTTGTGGAATATCTAAAGTAACTATATTTTTAATGACATCCAAACACTAAGAGAGTCCCTAGTTGTATCTAATAAAAAGAAATCCATTCATCCTTAAGGGATTAAGAGGCATATTTGAGATTCATAATTAAGAAAAGAATTTAAAGTTACATGTATCCATTAATTTGGCCTTCCCTTTGGCACACACCCACAGCTGTTCCATTCCCATTCCTGAATAATTACTCACCCTCCATCTTCTCAATTTTTGTTTTTCTACTACACTCTGCATACTCTCTCCATACTCAAAATCGTTCCTTTCAGCCATGATGTAGGCTTCTCTACCTCTTTCCTTTTGTATGAGTTTACTTCATTCCACATTAAAAACACAACACATCTGAAGTAACCATGAACATTGTTTACCCTTATAAATGTCTTGAATACATCAAAGAGCATGAACTAGGCCAGAGAACTCTAGAACAGTCTTTTGAGATTTAAAACAGCTAGATACCTTCTTCATTACTTGATTTTTATTAGTCAAAGTTACATGCTGAATACTGGGGAGAGGAGGGAGTATAGCATGAAGTAAAATGCAGTTGTTACTTTAATGAAAGGAAAA